GATGGAGGGGTGAGACCATGTCAGATGGCAGCAGAGAATCCAAAAGGGATTTTGACTTAAGGTTTCTGTGTGAAATGCTTGGGGATCATTTGCACTGGGTTCTCAAGGAGAAACAACCATGGCAGAAAGGGATACCTTGAGGGTGAATGTATCTTGTGGGATCAGAGGGTCTTTGCAAGCCTAGGACTGGAAGATATGAGAGAGAGAGAGAGAGAGAGAGAGAGAGAGAGAGAGAGAGAGAGAATATGAATGTGTGTTGGATGTGAGAGGTTCCTTCTTGGGATTTATGGCATGTATAAAGATATCCCTAGAGTCACCTGTTCTCCAAAAGCCACATGATAGAGGACCTCAAATTACTCAATGTCACAGAAATAATGTTGAAGCTTTGCAAAACATTTTCACATTGCTTACCCAAAATCCCCACAATCCACTGAGGAAGCCAAAGCAGGGATAGCTTCCTTATTTTATAGACAAGAAAGCTGGAATAGGGGATGGGGAAACATGAACACTGGAGACATTCACTCTAGGTTCAATTCCTGGTTCATGGTCTTGTAACCATGGGCAAGTTACTTTGCTAAATTTTCATTGCATCTTAATGCATTTCTTACAGTGTACAAAGGGCTAATTTAGAATCAATTCCAAATCATCCCCATTTGTTTGGTCTCATGATGAATAAAGGGGCAAAATCTCATTTCTCATATTAACTTCTAACTATTCAGGCTTTTTGGTGTGCCTCGCATTGTACAATGCTAAACTGTACTGATGCCAAATTAGAGGAGTGATAAACAAAAGACAAATACCATCCGGAGCCAAAGTACATCATAATTGCTACATGAATACTTGAACACAAAATGGGTCATAAGTGGAAATCATGTGGAAGACACCATAAAGGCCATAAGGTTTTAGAAAAACATCAACGCCTGTTTCCTGAGAAAACAGCAACAGTATACATAAGTGAAAGCACACACGAAGTACTTAAGATCAAAGAACAAGAACTTTGGAGTCATGCAGATCTGGGTATAAATCTCACTTTGACATACTGGTTTGACTAAGACAGGTTATCTAAGCTCTGAATCCCAGTTTGTTGATTTTAAAATGGTACTAGTGCCTGCCTCAAACTTGTTGAATGGATTAATCAGATAATATATGTGAGTATTTTAGCATATTGTGTAGTATATAATAGGCATTCAATAAATAATTTCTGTGGTTATGTTGGAAGAAGAGGAGGAAATAGTTTATCACAGTGAACTTCTGAGTGCACTAACCACATGTTTGTTATTTATATGGGTGTCCCCTTAGATCCTTATTGGGAATGCTGTTTAGAGAGGTACCATTATAAGGCAACTCATACCATACTCTGATGTGATTAACTCTACCACTCAACTAATAAATGATGGTGAAAAGTGCTATATCCTACCTTCTACATGTATGACTGCATTTTCATTTAACAAAGCCCTATTTAACTTGGTAATATCCTGAAGGACACAAGTTGTACAAATCAAGGGTATTTATCAAAAGTAAAAGAGTCCTTTATTTCTTTATCTAATAAGCACAGAGATATGCTATCTTTTATTTTTCCTAAAATCCCCATCACTGTCTATCTGAATCTGTTATCTGAATCTGCTTATAACCTATATATTAAACAATGCTCAAATTTTATTGAGCTAGACCTCTGAGCTAGACCTGATACATACAGGAAGGTAAGATGTGGTCCAAATCCTCAGCAGAAGTAAATTTCTCAAATAAATTACACGTTTTTGAAAAAACAGACTTCTCTCCAACTGAAAATGTACCAGTATTTAGGGCTGACCCTGTGAGTCCCACGTGAGAGGGAAATACACATTAATGAGTTAGGCAGGGACACTATTAATACTCAAAATGGAAATATAATGCCATAATTAATTCCAGGATGAGTTTCAAGACAATGAATAATTAAAGTTTCATGGCAAATCTTCATTAGGAGGTTTTCTGCTATCATTAAATACTAAGTCACATGCTGCTGTCCTGACATTTTTATTTTGGGTGACACAGTTTAAGGAAAAAAGAGTATGTTATTTCTCATGGAAGGCACTAAACATATAGAGTAGCAGATACCAAAAAAACCCAAAAACAAACAAAAACAAAAACAAAACCAGGAAGAAAACTATTTTTAGAATAAATTAAACATATTTCATTTCCATGAAGAGAAAGAAGCTTCAGGTCAGATTTGAATTCAAGAAAGGAAATTCCAATGGGTTTTTGGAAGAAAATAAATTAGCCTAAAATGCTGAATAAGCAGTAAAGGAAAAGCACTAAAGGCTGAAAAACACAGCACTGGAAGTAAAACCTTGGGAAACCGTTAACTTTTACTCCAAGGCTTTGTTTAGACCTCTGCCAGGATGACTATCACTTAAAGAGGCTTTCCTGAATAGAACATTTATTACAAAGAATGTGCTTTGGAAGAGTTATAACCTTTGCTTCTCAGCTTCAGAGCAATGCCTGAGTCTGGGACAATAGAGTACTTTTAATACCTTGTATGGATACAGAGAATCACATTTCCTTTCATTTACCGACAACACACAGACAACATACATGAAAGACTCATTTCTGTATCTTTATATGTAGTCAAGAGGTTGGAGTTAAAAATACTAGAGCAAACACACCGAACAAATCAGGGTATGACTCAAAGTCTTTATAATTTATTTGTAATACCTCTAAATCTTTGAAAAGAACAATTTTAAGAGATAAAAATTAAGGTCAAGTTCTATGCTGAGTAAACTCACTTCTTGATATCAAAAGAAAGGGGACCAAAGATTGGGAAATTCACCTGAAATATGTTATAACTGAAATCAGGCAAAAAGTTTAAAAATAATAATCTCAAATAAAAAACTTCAAATAAAACTGAAAAATATAACTTAAAAGTAGAAATCTAGAGAATATAACAGACACTAATTTTATTTCCATTTTTCAGATATTTCCCCATATATACATATATGTGCAGTATTATTATTTCTCTTTTATTAAAAAATGGAACAATACATTTGCAACTTACTTACTGTTTCACTTAATTTATCTTGGACATTTATAAATGTCAGTATAGGCTTTCTCTTGTTACTTGTAATGGCTGCACGGCATTTTATTACATGGCTATCACAATTTATTTAAACAATTTGCTAGTGATGGATATGCAGCTTGTTCCCAATGTTTCACTCTTTCAAACACTGTTGGAATGAAGAGTCCTGTAAAACAGGTCTAAATTCCTAGAATGAGAATTGTTGAAACAAGAGGTAGGCAGATCCTGCCAAATAAGCAACTAGTTTTTTTATATGTAATTTTTTGAAGGAAAAACTAGGTAATCATTTCTCATAAAGTGCTTCATACTCATGTGCAAAACTAAAACCTTAGTTGTAATGGTAAACAGAAAAAAAATAGGAATGAGTAAGTCAAAATAGAGAAGAAATGGCACAAATGAAACGAAATGAAAGGCACAAATGAAAAGATAATCTAAGATTGAATTAGAAATAAATACAGCATAAATCCTGAATATAAAAGATATATCTATACTAAATGAAAAAAGAACATTAAAGGTAAAAAGATAGAAGACAGTATACTAAGCTAATAATGACAGAAAAAGAAAGCAGGTATGGCAGTAATATCAGTCAAAAAATAATTTGTTATGCACACTCAAGTATTTACAGATTGAATGGTATGATGGATTTGTTTTAACCTAGAGGGGGTGTTGGTAGGGTGGGTCATAAGTAGGGCATAGGATGATATTGTTGAAACTGAGTAAAAGTATGGGCACATAAGATTTTATTACTAGTCTCTATACTTTTGTAGATGTTTGAAATTAAAATATTTTTAAAAGAATTCAAGTAGAAAATAAATGGCACAAGGGAAGATATATTTTTAAAATTATAAAGTCCCACAAACAAACAAAAAAAACCCTTTAAAATATACAAAACAAAACTGATAAAAATGCAAGGAGGAGATAAATCCATAACTAAAATGAGAAATTAATATGTTTCACCAAAAATCAAGTAGGATAGAAATAGTAAAGATACTAACGATACATTTATATAATTAGGAAGTGATACACTTATTCATACTCACACACACTCACATATATTTGTGTCTGACAGACTATATATTCTTTTTAAACACTTAAAGAACATCCCTCAATTGGCCATATATTAGATTACTCTATATGTGCAGTATTGTTTGATTCTTACAATTACAATATATTCATGTATGTTACAATAAAAATATGTTAAATAAAAGCATTTATACTTTATTTGGTTGTGGTAGTGTTTTAAAACATATTCTCTCATTTCATCTCACATAAAACAATGAGCCTGGTATGAAAGTGAGGCTAGAGAGGCTCAGCATCATTTATCTCAGGTCACTAAAGTGGTAAGTGGTGGCCAGGACCCACACTCAATTCTGAATGCTGAAGCCTCGTCAACTGGCCCTACCGCACTGCCTCATAAAATTCTTGATTAAGAGGATTCAAGGTTGTCAGATCCTTACTTTTAATTTCTCCTCCAAACAGAACATTTATGATTTTAATAATTAAAAATTAGATTCTGGTAGAAAATGGATGCAGCAGAATATTGTTAAAAGAACAAAATTTTTCCTGAGTGTATATCTTCCTCACACCCAATTTTACTGAAAATCATTCTTCTCTTAAGCCTTATCCATTTTATTTATAGAAAGTTTTACAAGTATTATGCTTATGTTTTGTTGTTGTTTTCTTTTTAAAACATGATGTAGCTGTTTAAATCCCTGGAGCTTGATTTTCCAGAGAACAGTTACGTCGTTATGTCTAACATGGGAGTTAAAAAAACAGGAAGATTCTTTCAGTTCATATGTATTTATTTCTTCAAACCACCAGATGTTGCCTCTATTACTTCAGAGAAAGATGTGCTTTCCTAGATACGCATCAGGCCTGGGGTAGGCCAAGTCTGTTGGAGGACACCTTGAACAATTCTGTTTACGCAAACACAAAGCACTTTACTCACCCAATTCGTATTTTCAGCATGCCACTGAATAACTCAGGGTTATTGGAGATGATCCAGCCAATATGGATGACCAGTTCTTGCTGAATGACCGCCTCCCTCTCATCATGGGTATTACACTTGTAATAGATGATGTTCTTAATCACTCTTGGAGACAAAGGATTAGAGATAACCTCTTCTTCATGCCCAAAGGCACCCAGAGTTACCTATAAGTGGCAGAATTTTATTGCAAAAACTTCCTAGCTACTAAAAGATAAAAGAAAAAAAAAATCAAGGCTCAGGATGACTGGCAGGCTGAAATTACTCTATGCGAGCTAGGGAATTAGGTAGAATAACTGTTCCTGCTATTTATTAAAATGGCTTTCAAAGCGTGACTCCCACTGGAGTTCATGATGGTTCACAGTCTGGTCTAAAATATGAGGGCAGGTAAGGGTCCCAGTTAGGGGAGTGAAGGTGAGTGGATAAAAGCAGGGAAGGAATATAAATAACTATTAAGAGAAAATTATTCTGAATGACTTTAGTACTAGAAACTCCCCAGAGAAACCGAAATACATTGGATAGTTTTACTTTACTGCACAGTCTATACAATTTAGTATTTGAGAGTATATTTTTCACTTCTTTTATAGTTTCTCATGTGGAACTTTTGCTCTTTAACGCCACTATAACCTTTTCAAAGGCAGAAGCAACGTCATATGGTTCTAGTGTAGCCCCCACTTTTCTTGGCATAGTGTTAGGCACCTAGTGAGTATTAAAATACTTGTTGATGTATCTCTCACCTGTGGAGAGGGATAAATGAGGCTGCCCACAGGCCTAGGAAATGAGAAAGCACAGAGGGAAATGACAACAAATACTCAAAGCAGAGAGTGCTGCTGAAGCTGGCAAGAGGAATAATGGGTTTCTCTCTCTCCTCTCTCCTTGGCATATTGTCTCCCAGAAGAGTCTGCCTTCCCCCTCATTACCCTTCTCCTTCTCTCTTCCATGGACAGTGCACGATTATAAGAGGCAGGAAAATGAAGAGCTTATCAAAGGGCCCTTGTATTTTCAGAGATGAGGGGAGAGAGCAGAACATGGGGTCTTTTGCCTCAACTCTGTGATGGAGTGAAAACTGAGAACTGCTGGTTTATTATATCACAAGTGGTACCAACCAGTTAGTCCAAGTGCGATTACTTTTATTAAAATGTCAGTGTGTAAAGAAGAAAACAAATAGAAGGCACATTACTGCCTCTGGAAGCATTGATGACTAAACCACTATTTCATTCCGGAGAGCTTGAGGTGATCTGAAAGTGCTTTGTTTAAACAGTATTAACTTTCAGCATTTCATGAATCAGCGAATGCAAACTTTGAACGCTCCATTCTCATTTCTTTTTTGTAAAGGGGTAAGATGCGGTCAGTGAATGGACTTCATGCACCTGAACTATCAGCCTCCCAGGCTTACTCAGCTCTTAAGTGACTATTTCCCTGGGACATGTGATGGTCTGATGGGCAATGGTCCAGCCACAGCCTCAGGACAGGTTCCAAGGCTTCTGGGATATGGGGAGCAGAGTCTCAGGATCACAAGCTGCAAGCCCCTCTATATAATGCAAAGAATGGACATGACTAACCTACCCTTCTCCAAGTGTCAGGTGCCATTTGGAGACGACAAAGACCTCCAAAACCCTCTCATCTATTCATAGACAGTAGAATTAACTGTATTTTCAAATATACTACAGGGACCTAAAATCCAAGGAAAAGTAGCTTCCCAAAGCCCATTTACTTTCTTTCAGAGGTGGTTCAGTCCAGGGCAACAGTATGAGACTATGGCTGGAGGTGAGGACCGTGGTGAGGAAGGGCACTGGATAACGTACTTCCTGTACCTTGGTCTATGTAGCTGACAAATGAGGATGAAAATTCTACCTCTTAATAATTTGGAGAAAATAGAGATAATAATATACATGAAAGTGATTTAACTTTTTCTTAAGGGTTTTAATTACCATTATTGCTTTGTCATTGTTATTAAATGCTACAGGATAAAATAACTTACTATTCTAACATTTCAAGCTGGATGTCAAGATGATATAATTTCAATGAATTAAGAGCCCTGAAATGTAAGCAATGGGCTGATTCTATTAAAGAAGGTTACAAGTATTTCATATTATTAAAGCTTATTATACCCTTAGGTTAACTGTCAGGAAAACACAATAAAGCACACACATTCCCAAAGAAGAGAAAAAAAGCAAACAGGTTTTCATTCCAACCAAATGGTGGTTCAGCCAGGTAATTAGAGCTTATAGAAAACAAAACAAGAAATGAGCAGCCACATTCCACACTGCATACCCACGTGCACAGGCTCAATTCAAGCCACATGCATCAAGTGCCTACTCCAAGCCAGACCCCATGCTGGGACAGGACCAGACCTGGGCCCTGACTTCCAGGGGTTCACAGCCTACCCTGGGGTAGAGAGACACACATTGAAATGAACTGGAATCCAGGGCAGACTGTGAGAAGTGTCATAGGCCTGTTTTGAGAACCCAGTGGAGAGAAGGGCTGCTGGTTCTGCGATGGTTCTGTGAGAAGGAGCTGTCCCTTGTGGGAGTGGAGGAGCTACAGGGAGACGTGGCTCAAAAGGTTAAGGATCTGGGGAGTCAGTGCATTTCTAAGGGTGAGAAAACTCTCATGTGGAGTAGAAGGAAAAATGTGCCCTTCACTATTCACCTGTCTTTGCCCTGCCTATCCTAAACCTGTCTGGAGTACCTCAGTAGGGATTAATCCATTTTCTGGGTCAGCATCTTCACTGATCTAAACACAGGAACTGAAAATCACAGCTCTAAGGTACAGCAGGAAAAAGGAGTGGTCTACTTAGTAACTGTGCATTTTTAAGACCAGGTTTTGCTTGGGGAAGGAGCCTTCTGTAGAAATGCCTGAGCCATTGTTAATATGGTTGAGAGGCCTAGGACACTGAGGCTTGCTAGATTTAAAAGCAAGAGTCCTATCCAGAAACTTGTGATTGTGACCAAGTGACAGTCTGAAAATCAGATACTTACCTGTTTTCCCTGCACTAAAACATTAGTAATGGATGGGGCCAGGCTGTCCACTACTTTACTTAAAAGACTTGCTGCACAGCGCACAACCGACCTGGGGGCAAAGAAGAGAGCACGCCAGAGGTTGACAAATCTAAAAGATGATGAATGAATGGGGTCCCTGATGGAAGAGACTGAAAAATGTGCAGTTAGGTCCTCACATAATAATTTGGAGGAAATGCTTAGCCGACCCTGGACCTAACAGCTGAAGTCTCCCAGACTGCAGACCATCCAGAATTAGGGAGGGATTCCTCATCCTCACCTCTGTTACCAGCACTGTTCATGCCATTATCAATTTAAAAAAAAAGAAAAAGGGGGCCTAACCATGCCTTTGATGAGGAGTAGGAGGAGGAATTAAGTGAGTATTCTGACTTTGCATTAAAAAATTCATTATTGGGGCTCCTGGGTGGCGCAGTCGGTTAAGCGTCCGACTTCAGCCAGGTCACGATCTCGCACTCTGTGAGTTCGAGCCCCGCGTCGGGCTCTGGGCTGATGGCTCAGAGCCTGGAGCCTGTTTCCGATTCTGTGTCTCCCTCTCTCTCTGCCCCTCCCCCGTTCATGCTCTGTCTCTCTCTGTCCCAAAAATAAATAAACGTTGAAAAAAAAAATTAAAAAAAAAATTCATTATTAAGTATGTCACTGGTAAATGTCATCTATTCCTATAACCACTTTAAATCATGTTTCTTTTGGTGCCTAGATAACCAAATCCCTGGATTGGGGACTCTCTTAGTACTCAATTTTAGGAAGTGACACAATGAAATACCAGCATTTTTTTCCTGATAAAGCCAGAATGTTGGAGGACGGAATTCACACTGCTATTTTTACATTTCTGGAAAAGTCTCAGACTGTAGAGAGAACAGATTTTTTTAATGCATGGCACATGCAATATATAAGACATTTTTTCCCTCAAAAGTAAAATTCATGTGGAACTTCTAGATGAAAAAAATAAAATGAAAATATAGGTTTAAAACTGTTTTCCTGTATTTCAGGATATCCATGGATGCTGTCCTATAAAAAGCATTTATATTCTTTAATCTCAACATAGATGGATGAGTAGAAAATTAAGTCAATAACTGATAAAGTTAGTGAAACAAACACTTCCTACTTTTAGAGAAGCTTTCGCCCACACACTTGAAGACCAAAAGACATACTTAACCCTCAGAATGCAAATAAGCCCACACGTTTCAAGCAGCTTGAGTTTTTCCACATTCTGTGTGTGTTACCTGTTTCCCATGTACCAGAAAAGTAGTAATGTGTGGGGCTATAGAGGAAGAAAATTTCTGGGTAAAGGCAGCCCCATAGCGTACCGCCAACCTGGATGTGTCAGTGGAAAGCCATAAAAGGGAAAATACAGTAAATAAACTTACAGGCATTTGTTCTTTTAAACATAACAGCACTCTAAATATGTGCTAGTTAATGCTTTATCTACAATCCAAGTATAATAACATAAAGCAAAAACAAGTCTGCTTAGCAAAAAATAAGACTATAGACCACATTTGAAACTTACTGGCTTAAAGAAACATCTATTGGCTTATATGCCTTACTGTGCTGAGAATTTACAGTGAAAGTTTGAGATTTAGTGAGAGGATTATTATCTTATTTCTTCTGGGTTGGAATAATATATTTACTATAAATCATAGAGTTGAAATACTGCTAAGAAATTGTTTCTTCAAATCCCCTTAGCGATTAGAAATTTGAGGCTTATTGAGGTTATGAGAGTTTCTTATCACATTGCTTGAGATCTTTTTTTTTTTCAAAATGAGATAATAATGGGTTGTTTAAAAAATACATGTACTCTTACTTTCAAAATGTTAGATTCTTCTAGTAAAATGGCTACAATTGCTTCCAAATACAGAGGGCTATGCATTTAGGCATACCTACCCCCACTGTGAATTAAAACAATTTTATCTCAACTTACCTAATTTTTTTTTCAGTCCTTGGGAGACTACTTTTGCAGAACATATTAGTTATTTTACATGAAGCAACTGTAATCACTGGGATTCATTCTAACTTAAGTGGTAAGAGAACAGCCTTCTATTATTTTTGCTTATGATTAAATGAACCATTGGTCTCTTTTCATGGCCTTCTATGATCACAGAATAGATTTCCTGAATACAAAGTAGAACCTAAAGCACATTGCTGGGACAGAGCAGGTGTGGTGTAGGAAAGACTCATTAGCATATCACTCCAGTGAATATGCTCTCTAGTTTCTATTCCTATGGAGGTCTTTATTCCCAGACGTTATTTTTAATATTTTGGGAGAGCCATGATACAATGGAATGTAGGCAGGTCCTTAGAAAGTAGACAGAATCATGGCCATAACCTTGGAGTTTAAAAGTAAAAATTTGGGGCGCCTGGGTGGCTCAGTCAATTGAATGTCTGACTCTTGATTTCGGCTCAGGTGATGATCTCAGGGTCGTGGGATCAAGCCCCACGTTGGGCTCTGCACTCAGCGTGGAGCCTGCTTAGGTTTCTCTCTCTCTCCCTGTGCCCCTCTCCCTCGCTCACACTCTTTTTCTGTCTAAAATTAAAAAAGGTAAAAATTTGGATAAATAACCGTCTTTAGGATTGGTCTATTACCTTTATGCCTTTAAACATGACAACACAAAAAATAAAACATAATGACAAGGACACTAATACGAACCAAAGCTTTTTGCTGCCAGCTCTTCTATAGACTCTCTCAATGTGATCAGAAACGGTTCCTAGACATTAGATAATAAAGTCTTTGTTGAAAAAAAAACCTTTTAATTAAATGCATAACATTTATTCTCCTTAAAAATATTACTCTTGAATTTCATTTTTATTCCACTAGAGTTAATACATGCACATCCATTAGTATTCTGAACTACTTGACATATTTAAATATGTAACCCAAATATATAGTGTGAATGTCCCAGCACTTGTTAGTATTTACTTTGAGTATATGATTCTGGTGAGTACTTTATTTCTTGAAATTTATTGTCTTCTTAATTAATATGCAATCTAAATTTTTAACAATTAAAAATAAGTTATTTTAATTTACTAAAGAAAATAGAATGCAGCAAATTGCACAAATACTATAGACTCTGAATATATATGATTCTTCATTTACGTGTTTCAGAAAACTTTTATAGAGACTCTGTTATGTGTATGATCCTTCCAATATATACTAGTCCAAAAGACACCACTGGACTTCATTCTTTGGCAATTTACATGTGGTCTGGCCTCATGACTGGCTTGTCAACAATAAATTAATCATGGTGACAGGAGAGAGTAGCAAAAAGAAAACAAGGATAGAGAACAAGATCTTTATCATTTTACCATGAATATATTTTTTATAGCTTTATAACAAATTGGATAAAATTATATTCAGATTCTGTAGATGCTTATGATTTTCAATGTAAAAGATTTTATAGATTTAAAACTCAATCTTTCAAATATCTAAGCAAAATATGAGTATTATTCCTGCTTATAAAAATAGTTTAAAAAATAATTCTCTCAGCATTTTCATTATAAACAATTTTATATAAACTTTGTTTTATTTTAAAGCACTACTAAAATAGCCATTCTGAATTCTAGTTTCCTAATAAAATGTTTGCCTTTTAAAAATCCTATTGTTTTAGTTAAAGTATGAATTTCAATCAATGTCCTCAATATAACTGTGATTCTGCTTATAGTTTCAAGACTAATTAAAAACATGAAGTCTTCTGTCTGAAATTTGTTGAAAGTTTTTCTGCCTTTACTCAGTTAAGAAAATTAGGACTATTCAGTTGACATATATACTATTCAAGAAGTTTATCTCTTAGCTACAATAATGTAAAAACTAAGTAGACCTTATCTGAATACACAATTATGTTTGTTTACTACCAAAACTATAAGTCTTATTAATTACATTGTTGTTCAGAACACTGACTCAGTTTCTAATCCTAACCAAATCAACATGCCCCTTTAACAGAGGAATTTCAGATGAGCCAAAACCTTTGAGTATCTTGGAATGTATTCTATATTATTCTATATAATAAAATGACAGAAGCAGATCATGATATAGAATTCAAGACTCCCTTAGAGTGACTCAACATACAAGTGTGGGTTTCAGGGATAATTGGGTTACATCCTTAATGCAGAATGGACATGATTAGAAATGATTTATTTTTGTTAACAATGTTTAGAGCACAGTTCTATTAAATATCATGTTCCATTTCAAATGGCTGCTGCAGACCATGAAGGAGCTAATTTTTATAGCTTTAATGATTCAATATTATTCTTAAAAACAAACAGAAACTAAAACTGGAAACAGAAACTGTCAATAAACAACTATGAAAGAAGTCATCAAAGGTTAACAGTCACAGGCAGAATGAGGCCCTAACACCATTCAGACAATCAGAGAAACAATCAAGCATCACTGCATGAAAGCAATTTAGGAGTTCATACATCAGTCTATTCTACTCTAGGGGGTATGAATAAACATTTTCCATTTAAAGGTTAAAAAAAAGCATTTAATGGAGGATAAAATAACATAACATTTTAGTATCTATTCAAAAGGTATATTTGATATATACCCAAGAATAGAGAGATCTCATTATTTAAAAATTTTCTGTTAGGCATGTATATTTACCTTCCTTGGTGATGAAGTTGGGGCCTTCTCTTTTGAGCAGTATACCCAGCAGGATGACTTGGCTAGCCAGACAACTGCAGTCCTAAAAATACAAATCACTGTGAGTAACTGGAATAAAATGGGTACAAAATTTACCACAGAAATGTAACCACATGATGCAGAGAGGAAATCTGCCATGGAATTGTTACTGATCTGCCAGATCTGCCAGATCAATTGTTACTGATATATTACCAAGCATCAGATGACATTACACAACTATTTATCTAAGGTGTCTTGGAGACAGAGAGTAGACAAGTTGGCTTCCTCATGTGGTAGATTTAATAATCAAATTTTCCAGTAAATAAGATAAGCAAGGGATAGAAAATGTCTACAAGCACTAATACTTGATTAATACTTGATTCTGTCACTCTCTGAGAAATTTGGCCATGCCATTCAACCATTCCCTTTTGTACATTGCTTATTCATAAGTGAGAGACCATGTTGCTATCAACCTATATGAGGAGATGGATAAAAGAAGACGACATATATAGAGTGCTTTATATGTATTATGACACCATGCTATGTGTTTTATGCCTACCATATCATACTCATGGTAATGGAGATCTATAGATAATGTCAATCAATAACAAGGACTAATAATGTCTGGAAAGATATATATTTAACCTACATGCTCAAATTTGTGGTATAGCCCAACAAGATGTCATAGTATTTTAGTTCTATCATTAGAATTTCATTTCCTCGAATAACTACTATACTCCACTCTCACACTACCTCTTTTAAAATGCAAATAATCTTAGGGAAGGTAAAAATTAAGTTGGTAACATAATATTCACATGGATGTGGTCATAGGATTGCTTTCCACAGTGACTGGAGAGACTTACAGCAAACATTAAGACCTAAACACTAGGGCAGGAGAGGAGATCTAAGTTGGGAAAAAGAAGGGAAGTGTACTAAAAGAGAAGTCTGGAGATCCCAAAGGGAATTATTCCTGACATAACTTCTTTAATGGCTCATACAATACCTTCATACCCAAGGCAAACCAATTTATCCCTACTCCTTAAGCATGTTTAAGACATCCATGCTGGGGCACCTGGGTGGCGCAGTCGGTTAAGCGTCCGACTTCATCCAGGTCATGATCTCGCGGTCCGTGAGTTCGAGCCCCGCGTCGGGCTCTGGGCTGATGGCTCAGAGCCTGGAGCCTGTTTCCGATTCTGTGTCTCCCTCTCTCTCTGCCCCTCCCCCGTTCATGCTCTGTCTCTCTCTGTCCCAAAAATAAATAAACGTTGAAAAAAAAAAAATTACAAAAAAAAAAAAAGACATCCATGCTAATGTCTTAACAATGAGAACAATCTCTCTCATTACTACCCCTAATATAGAGAGGCCATCTACCCAGGCACATTTATCTACCTTCTCTGAGAGGACAAAAGAAAGATGGCTTGCCCCTGAGAATTCCTGCCTGCCAACCTCACTCAGAGCCATGTGGGAAATACATCTTCCTCACATTCAGTTTTTGAAGAATTTCATGGGTGGGCTTGTTCTTCCATTCGGTAATGGCGACATCTGGTTGCTGTTCTAGTTCAGGAGTACTGGGGGTACTGCTTTGTCGTTTGACTTTTGAATGTTTGGGAAGTTCTAGTTCCTCAAAACTCTTAAATTCTGGAAGCCTAGAAATTAAAAGAAAAAGTTTCAGGTTTCCTGTATTTCTAATTCTAATTTCCTGCTTTTCTAATAAAAGCCCAAAAGGACTTACTCTTCTGTGTCACTGATTCGTAGGAAGTCAAGTTGTTCTACTACAGCTCCAGATATTAGTGTCTGAAATGTAGTTGAGAAAAATCACAACTCTTAAATTCATGAAGCCATACACTTATGATCTGTAGTATGTAATACTTCAAAAAAGTTTACTTAAAAAACTACACACAACTCTTTTAAGTAATTTCTTAAATGAGCACTCTAAAATCAGATAAGTTTTCATATACAACAAAACCCTCTTAAAAAGAGATCACATAGGGGCACCTGGGTGGCTCAGTCAGTTAAGTGTCCAATTTTGGCTTAGGTCATGATCTCATGGTTTGTGAGTTTGAGCCCTGCATCAGGCTATGCACAGCCTGCTTGGGATTCTCTCTCCTGCCCTCCCCACCCCCTCAAAATAAATAAATAAACTTAAAACAGAAAAGAACATACAAATCAAGCTACAAGTTCATGGGTCATAATAAATAGGAAAGTCAACATGAAAGGAATTGTATTTTTTCTCTATTCTTAGAAGTGTGGGCATTTACTTTTAAGCTAGAATTAAAATTCAGTACCTATTAAAGTGTTTAAAAATAGTGTGAAATAAAAAAAAACAACTAGAAATGCTATAATTGTTTTGGGAAAAATGATGTGAAACTGCACTATGAATTCTGTTACCATAATATTTCAGGGACATCCAATGATGGGATACTGCCAATCTCCATTTTCAGGAACATGAAGGTGTTGATTATAGAAGCCAGTGCTTCTCTACATTCTGGCAACCCATATTCAGATTTTATTTTTCATTAGTTCCTGATTATAGGTTAGCAAACTAAATAAGGCCAAACTCAAACACAGTTTTTGTTGGTCCATGGTTCATGGGTAAAGAACATAAATGAATGATAACCCACAGTGGTGTTTTTAGCAATATGTGTCGTTTTTAATTATCTGATGAACTGTCAGATAAAATTGAGAAATGTACTGCATTAAAAAAAGCCATAAGATTATTATTTTAAAAATAAGGTTATTCTTTAATCAAAACTGTCTTATATATAACACTTTTTTTGTTTTCACACTGTTTTTTTCAAATATGAAGCAACATGACACAGGAAATGTTTCACTTGTTGGCTAACCACCCAGAGTTGTGCTGCCTTCTCCTCTACTGGAAACTCATAAACAAAAGTAGATCATCAATCAACAAATACCCACTACAAATGTCAGGATGGACATATTACCAGCAATCATACTAAAGTCTCCTTGCAGAGTTTGAGTGAAGAAGGCCAAACATGCAACCGATCTGCACATTTTCATGTGGCCCAGCAATACTCAGGGTCTGAGAACAGTCTGTACCTGGGCAGATAGCAATGTTGAGCATAACAGAAGTCTGTTGAGTGATTATTTCCTAATATTCAGGCTTACATCTCCACATCTTACTCTCTGGTTTGTTAGACAAATATTTATTGAACACCTACCATGTTCCAGGCACTCAACTAAGTATTAAGAATATAGCAAGAATAAAATACACAAAATCCTTGCTTTCTTGAAATTGACCTTAGGTATGTGTAGGAAGTAGACAATATAAACAAAAAACTAAATATGTTCTATCTGATGATGTTAAGGGCAAAGTAGAAATAAGAAAAGTAGAGGATGGGAAGTGGGGTGGGGGAGTAGGAGGAGGAAGAAGGTTTGTCATTTTATACAGGTGATCAGAAAAGGCTTCTCTAGTAGGGTGACATGTAAACGGAGACTGAAGGAAAGATGGTAGTCAACAATATCGATCTTAAGGAAGGATGTGTTGGGCTGAGGGAATAGCAAGTGCAAAGGTCCTGAGGTAGAAGCATGCTTGATGTGCTTTAGGAGCAGTAAAGAGGAGAGTGTGGATAAAGTACAGTAGACAGGGAAGATCATTAGGAGATGAGGTCAGAAAAAAAGGTCCAGATCATGGACAGCACAAAGACCACTGGAAGGACTTTGGTTTTCATTTTAAGTGAGAGAAAGTCATTGGAGGCTTAGGGTATGTGACATAATCTAACTGTCTTATGACCATGCAGAGTATGAAGATGCTAACTGTCTTATGGCCAGTAGGAATTTAGGAAACTGCTGTAAAAATATAGGTGAGGTATGATGGTAACTTGGGCCATGATGTTAGTGTTAGAGGTGATGGAAAGTGGTTAGATTCTGGATATAATCTGAGGGTAGAGAAAACCAGATTTGATAATGGATTCTAAAAGTGTAAAGTATGAAAAAAAGAGAAGAATCAAGAATTATTTGATGCTCAAAGCTAATAGTTAATTCTGAAAACATAAGAAAAATCATTTTAATATTTTCTATTTTTAGTCTATCCACCCTATGTACTGATTAAGCCCATAAGGTAAATGTTAATAGGCAAATGTTAAATTCCATTAATAGTCTCTAGAGCTTTACTTTTTTTTTTAACATTTATTTATTATTGAGGGATGGAGAGACACAGAATGTGAGCAGGAGAGGGGTAGAGAGAGGGGGAGACACAGAATCTGAAGTAGGCTCCAGGCTCTGAGCTGTCAGCACAGAGCCCGAAGTGGGGCTTGAACTCATGATCCGTGAGATTATGACCTGAGCCGAAGTCAGTTGCCTAACCAACTGAGCCACCCAGTCACCCCTCTAGAGCTTTAGATAAAAAAAAAAAAATCAGTTTGTTAACAGAGGCTCCTAAATTAGTTTTATAAAAAAGCTTTACTAGGCACTAATACTTTAGTTCTGATGGTAATTAAATAACCTAATATTATTATATATATGTCAAATGAAATATAATATTCAAAAAGGTATCCTGCTCTGCAATACCTAATTCTATCCTATGAAGATCCTTTCTAGCTGAACATTCTACCGAAGACTGTACTCCATCCTGTCATCCTGCATCCCTACCTGGCTTTTTTCTTTTTCTTTTTTTTTTTTTCCACTATTTTATCCCCAGTGCCTAGAGAGGGAGCTCAATCAATATCTGTTGAATCAGTGAACCAATATTTACACATTTCCTACAGAGAGAACAGTAGTGAGCAGATCACTCTGGGAATTCAGAGATGAATCAAACTTGGCCTGAAAGAGTTTTCAATCCACAGAGAGAAGCAGACACAGGAAACTAGCTACACCTAAATTAAGAGCTATAGCAAAGGTTCAAGCAAAATGCCACAGGAACACACTGGAATGAGAAATTAATTCAACCTTGGAGACTTCACTAAAGAGGTGACATTGACCTAAATTATAAAATTAAAGTATTTATAAGGAAAAGAAAAAAGAAAAAAAAAACAAAAAAACTCTAGAATAGAATAACAGCATGAGCAGGAAAAAATTCCAATTACATTTAGGGATTTTGAAAGTACCCAGTATACTTGGGGAGTGGAAAGCAGGGCAAGGAATGAGCTAGATGGAAAGATCCTGGTTGATGAAGCTATGAAGGGAGGCTGAGGCCCAGTGACAAGAGAACCCATGGATCACAGACTAAGGAAATTTGAAAGGACTTGATATGAAATCCAAGAGAAGCATATAGATGCTATTTTCATTTACTATATTAAAGAGAAGATGAAGGCTAGGGTGGGGGGGATGAGGGTTGTTGTTTAATAAGTATAAAGTTTCCATTCTACAAAATGAAAAGAAGCCTATTCTTTGGTTAAAGACTCTGTTCTCAAGGGTATAAGGCACAACAGCGATCAGTGGACACAAATATTCAACAGTAGACTAAGGTGAAAGACTACACAGTACTGTGGGACCCCCTGGCTTCTTCCCTAACCCTGTTCTCAGCACATGAAAGCAAAATGCATGCCATTCAGACAAAAAGTTAGATGATTATTTTGGAAACTGAAGAGCCTAAGAGAAAAAAATCTCCAGATACTGGCAGCTGGGGTTTCCCCCAACAAAAAGAGCCCTTGCCACCAGACTACCTGATAAATGACTTCATCATGACAAGAATCTTTGTTCCTAAACACAGAGCTCCCAATAAACTTCTTATTCTTTCACTCTTAAAAATGAATGGATAGCTAAAGATTACCACATATCTGACAAATGCCTCCAACATGAAAATACTGAGTGCACACATGTGCGCATACACACACACACACACACATACACACATACACACAAAACAGAAAAAAGAAACCTGAAAGATATAAGGCAGAGAATAAAATTTCAAAAACTGTCTAGTTGATAATCTCAGGAAGATAAATTATAATATCTAGAAAATAAAAACATGATATTATGAAAATGGAAAATTAAAACCATGATAGTCAAAATACAAAACTTAACAGAGAAGCTGCATGATAAATATGAAAGAAATTTTTCCAGGAACCATGACAAAAAGACAATAGAATAGCAACAGAAAGTGACAGAAAATAACGAGGAAAGATATTCAAAAAACTAGATAAAAATCAATCAAATATGCAAAACACAAGCACTGGTGAATAAATATGTAAAAATGCCATTTGTAATATTACCTATATAGGTCCCTCTATAAATTTTCCTTTTTTCTTACTCAATATTGAGAACCTACTACATGAAAGACTCTACAAGATAATCACAATTCTTCATAGGAAATAAGTAAGGCACTTAAGTCCATGATGGACTACAATCCAAGTAGTTCATGTCAAAGGTCATAAAAGGATGTTCAAGAAGAGTACTGTTACTTTTGGCATAGGTGATTAGCAGAACTGGCCCTAAAGTTTGGTAAGATTTTACTTTTATTTTTTTTAATTTATTTTATTTCATTTTATATTATTTTTTAAGTTTATTTGAGAGAGAGAGAGTGAGAAAGAGAAAGCACATGTGTGAGTGTGAGCAGGGAAGAGGGGCAGAGAGAGAGGTGAGAGAGAATCCCAAGCAGGGTCTGTGTGCTGTCAACACAGAGCTCGATGTGGGGCTTGAAGCGTGAACAGTGAGATCATGACCTGACCTGAAATCAAGAGTTGGACACTTAACCAACTGAGCCACCCAGGTGCTCCTAACATTTGTTAAGATTTTAAAGAGCAGACACCTTGAAAGAAGGAAGTTTATTCCAGGCAGAGGAAATGGCATGAGCAGAGGGGCAGAACCTCACAAAGTCAGAACACAGTAATTCATCTGTATTGGCTGAAACACAAAGTGTTTAGTAGGAGATAACTGGGCAGGGAGGCTGTTCTGGCTAATAGGGAACCACAAGGGGCTTTGTTATTTAGGAGTTGAGAAACGGTGCTGTGAGGTCCTGAAATGAACGGAGATTATCTCCAGGTTGGATATTACTGTGGAGCAGGGAAAAGAACACTGGACCAGGGAGTTAGGCAACTGGTACCTGTGCCTAAAGGCACAAGATTATATAGCAGGTCACTTCACTACTCTGGACACCAGCTTCCTCAACTGCAAAACAGAGGTTGGAGATGAGTTATTAAAGTCTAAAATTCAGGTTGGGAAACCACTCCAATTGTTCAAGCATCAGATTGGAGGAATAAGATAAACTGATGGTTACAACACGAATAGGAAGGTAGGCACAAAATAAAAGCTTAAGCAAAAGCCTTAAACAGAACATATATGAAGAAATACAGCTGCATCTGTGCCTTACTTGTCATGAAAACAGAAACACACTGAAATTCAGAAGACTACCTGTAGACGATCAACATGAACTTTGACTCCTCCAACCATTCCTTTTTTAAAGGCTGCCAACATATCTAATATGGGGTTGAATCGGCTACCTCTAAAAAATATAAACAGACAAACAAAAGGTGCATTATTAACAACAGAATGAGAAAAAAATCTAATACTAAGTATCCTTTACATATGCAAGTCTCTCTGACACATGCAGACAAAGATATAAAAATAGGAGGAAGCCCTGCTGCCAAAGGATTCACAGTCTTAAAGATGGAAGATGGGCATACCTCATTTCTTTCATCAACCTACCGTATATTGTCTTCCCGGATGAGAACAAGGAAAAGTGGGCGTCCATGCATTTTCCAGTATTGCTTAATGAACTGTAGTGCATTCTATCAAAACATAAGAGTGAGGTAGAATGTAATGGCACCATATCTGAGCTGATCAGGATGTTTAACCAGTTGTGGCAAAGAGACAAAAAAACTCTCATATATCAAGACAATTCAGAGTCAAACTCTGGGTAGGATAGACTACATAGGTGTAGAAATGTTCTGATACATACATGTTACAAGTATGAATATATACAAGTTAAGTTTGAAACTTTTTTGACTTTAAACTTTATTCTTAGAAGTAATCAGATTGCACATATTTTAAGGCTGCTTCTTTTTTGGTGGCCTAAAAAATACAATTCAAGAATGGTCCCAGAGGAAGAAAAAAAAGAGAGAGACAAATCAAGAAATTTACTCTTAACTGTAGAGAACAAACTGGTGGTTACCAGAGGGGAGGTCGGTGGGAGGATGAAATGGGTGATGGAGATTAAGGAGTGCACTTGTGATGAGCACCAGGTGATGTATGGAATTGCTGAATCACTATATTGTATACCTGAAACTAATATAACACTGTATGTTAACTATACTGGAATTACAATAAATACTTAAAAAAGAAAAAAACAAAGAATGGTCCCAGGGAGGAAAAATCAACCCAGGGGTTGTCTCTTAAAAGATTAATCCTCACTCCACATTACTGTGCATTTATTACAGCAGGTAGAAGAACCTAGACAGAATCTATACAGACCATCAGAAATGTGGAAAGAGTTCTTTTTTTGACTCAATTTCTACTGTCGTTGTCATCATCATCATATCAAAGACTTACATAACACTTCACTATGTCAGGCACTATACTGAGTGTTTTACATACTTATTTAATTCTCAGAATATCCTTATTATTATTCAGTTATACAGATGAGAAAAGAGACTTCTCTGTGTCTTGCCCAAGTAACTTGCCCAAGTAACTTGCCCAAGATCACACAGCTGGTAAATAAACAGTACAACCAATCTTAACAAATGGAATCTGGGTCTAGACTTCATGCTCTGAACCATGACTCTAAGCTTCTCTACTCTGCAAATGGAAAAGGGAGTGGAGGAAACTTTTAACTGACTGTGTGTTATGAGTCAGTTGAGGTTTTACTTGACATTCTTCATAAATAAAATTATCTTGCTAACTCAACTTTTGTTCAAAAAGAGATAAACTACTGCTGTCGTATGAACATGGCTCCCCTTCTGCTTTATAAACTATATATTTTCATTCCATTTGTAGAATGGTCTATCAAGCAAAGTCATACAACTTAATATAAAACACACTCCATCTATTACTCTAATGCTGCAAGCAATTTAACTCTTTCTCCAAAGCCACGCAGACATTGTTTTACTTTCATATTTTACACTGTGTTAACCCAGTGTCACAGACTCCAGGAGCACTCAATTTCATATGAGAAAATCAGTAGAAACAAAGTCATTCAATTCAATAAAAAGGGGCTCTGAAACTACCTTTATGTCATCTATCAGCAGTAAAACATCTTGAGACATGTAGAAATCACTTAAGTCGAAGATGATAGGGTAACAAACCACAGTCTTTCCTAGAATGCGATAAATCTGTAAGAGATAATTAAAAAAAATATATATATATACACACACACACATATATATATATATATACATATAACATATATATATATATATATATATATATATGTTATATGTATATATATAACAGAACCAAAGACACAGGTACAGTAGCATAAGCCATAATAAAAAATTAAAACTGTTAATGAAATTTTAAAGTTTCTTGATTAGATCAGTAAGATCAGGATACTAATAGAGTAATCCATCTCTACTGTGATGGAAAAAGCCTGTTTGAATAAAAACTGTCATAATCAGGTATCCTACAATGTTCAGAAATAATATAGCAGTTAGATGCTTATTCATTCCTAGAAGCCTTCTGTGATATCATACAAAATAAACAGTAAGATTTACTCGTAGAAAATAATAATTCAGATAAGCAGCCTAAGTATGTAATGAAATGTGAGAATGGATGCATAGCAGATTAAACATCATTTAATTCTGTGGTTTTATAATCTGAACACTGCTCCACAAGGAAATTTCATAACCACCTTTGATGTACCGAGGCAGCCAATGGGTCTATCCGGTCTTCCGCAGAGTCCTAATTTTTCATTGATACCCAGGTGGAAATAAGCCTGTAAGACATAAATTTATAAATTAGGCAAGAAGAATCCATGCTTTTCCTTTTTTGCCCCCTTTGTCCCCCTAATGCCCTAACTTCGGATCTTTCCAGAGGAAAAATGGCCAGGGAAACCTTATTCAATACATTTGTAGGAAAATAAGCCAGCCAATGATGTCAACTTAGATTTGGGGGCACTGAGAGATTTGAGAGCATATCTTTGCAGATCTGCAAAGCAACATTCTAAAAGTTGACATTTTTCTTGTGCTATCATAAACGTACAACTTGCAGGGTTCTGTCCAATTCATAAAAGAACACAAAGAGGCAAATGTTTCCTGTGTAATAAAAAATCTGATGAAAGTTTTAAAATTCAGGGACTCACATCTCCTACTAGATTCCGACTTTCAAGTATTTCCCACAAAAATGGAAATGTCTTTATTGATTTTTTTGATAATATGAATTTTATGAAAAATGTAAGCCACGTGCTCCAAGTGAATGGTGCTGTTTACTCTCACAACCCTGTAGGTGATAACTCTTGCACTTTAATGTATGTTGAAGGAAGTGTAATTCATTGTGTGAGCCCTAAAAAACGTGAAGTATAGGCAGGGTTACAGATTTTTAAAAATACACAGATAAATATATATCCATATTACACACATAAATCAATATGTATATATGTTTACAGAAATGGGTTCATATACTATATATATCTCTTTGGTGTCCTAGTTGTTAAAATTTAGTACTGTGGTGTTCCAGTTTCAAGATGGTAAACTGAGAGTATGCATTTACTGTACATTTCAATATTGAAATAATGGAAGAAATATAAAGACCCCAAAAAATATCTGTAGCCCTCACTACTGGAAAACAGAAAAAGGTGCCACAGTGGAGAAGAAACTTCTAGAATTTCTACAAAGTAAAAACAGAGGGACTTGGAATAATTCAGTTGTTAATCAGTGCCAGAGCTGAGCATTTAATCCAATTAGAAGCCTCCTTACCCAATCCTATTTAACACCTATCCCTTGATGAAGGTAGTTCCCAACTTTTTGTTATTTCAAACCAATTCAATAAACATCTCTGGATGGTGTACTATTGTTTCTGTAGGATAATCTCCTAGACTTGCTGGATCAAAGAGAATATATGTTTTCTTTGCAATATAATGCCAGGTTGGTCACCGTGTAGAAATAATGGACCAATTTACATTGGCATTAACAGTGCATGGGCCTTTTTCTTGGGTCAAAATGATATTTCATCTTAAACTACTCAATTCAAATAATTTATGGTTGACCATTTTCCCATATATTTAATGGCTGCTTGTACGTTCTATAAAGTTTTCCATTTGTTCCCTTTTCTATTGGGCACTTTTCATTCTTTTTTGATTTGTAAGAGGTCTCGGTATATTAAGAATATTACCTTTTGTATAAATATTTTACCCAATTCACTCATCTTCCATGTTGTGATGAAATGTGAGAATGATTGCATAGTAGGTCAAACATCATTTCAGCATGTGGTATTTTAATCTAAACATTTTTCTACTAGGAAATTTCACAAAGCACCTTTGATATGCCAGGTTCATCTTCAGCTATATTTAGTCAAATTTGTCAATCATTTCCTTAATGGCTTTTTTAGCACTTGTATTATTCTAAGAATGGATTTTCACTCCAAACAGCTGTAAACTGCTCTTCAATTTTTTTCCTAGTGATTTTATGCTTAAATCATTTTTTAAAAAATAAGTAAAACTTTGGTTTGCAAGACTAATTCATTCCAGAAACATGCTTGTAATCCCAAGCACTTGTATATCAAAGCAAATTTCAAGAACCATTGATTGGCTCAGTTGTGATCATGTGACATTCAGCATCATGTAATACTCGTACTACAAGATACTGCTCACTTATCAGTTAAAATTTATTAGAAATACTTGCTTGTCTTGCTGAGCACATGTAGAACAAGTTATTTGCAATTCAAGGTTTTAAATACATTAAATCTTTAATCTGTCTGGAATTTATTTTTCTGTTTGATGAGGGGTAGAAATCTAACCTGTTTTCCTAAGTGGAAAATCAAACGAACTGTTTCTACATAATCTACTGATTATGATTTGAACTGACTTCAAATATCTACCTCACTATACACAAAATTAATGTCTCTTTGATTCTGCTATGGTGTACACTTCCGTGTCAGAGTTACGTCTGTGTCTCTTTCTCTTTCTGCATTGTTACCTCCCTACAGAACAGCATATCCTGGGTTGGCTGGCACTCTGCCCAGCATATAGCTGGTGCTCAGCAAACACCTGATGGATGAATGAGGGAGCATGTCCTCCAGAGCTACATGTGCTGTGAAATCTGATTCTTGAATAGCACTGGTTTTACTGCCAGGAAAAGTACTATATAAGCATTAGGATATATAGCTGTACTGAAACTATCACACATTATGCTAGATGGAAACTCCTTTCCCACAAATACTTTCAAATTTTCTGAAATAAATGTTCTAAACTATTTTAGATTTCTTCTTTTGGACAAGTGACTAATCAACCATTTACAAGTTAAAATGGACCAATCTAGATTTCCTTTAAATACTACTCTATCACAGTAAAAGAGTTTTCCTTAACTTTCTGAACCACAGTACAGCAAGTCTATGACAGGTAAGTAGACAGACCTGGAATGCTTTCTGCATTCCCCTGTGCATATTATACTGTCCCCACATTGTACATATTTCACACCATTTAATCCACTGAAATAGGATATAGTAATGGCTAAATGACCCAGAAGTACAGAAGTACTTCATCCTAGGTCTGCACTATATTCATATCCCCCATAAAGCAAAACCACACCAATCACCGCATCATGAAACGTTAACCACACACGGTAAAAGCCCTGTCCTCACATACTCTTAAGTTGGTTGAAGGAGGGTGCAGCTCCTCAGAACAGAAAGATTAGCCATTGGCATAAGAATATGTGTATTAACTAAGATTTGCGGGAACATTTTTACTTTTAAAAGGTGGAATTATTATTGAGTAATACATAGTACTGTGAAGTCACTACAGTGTGCGCTTGAAACTAATATAACACTGTATGTTAACTACACAGGAATTAAATTTTTTTTAATTAAATTTTTTAATTTTTTATCTTATTTTATTTTATTTTTTCAACGTTTATTTATTTTTGGGACAGAGAGAGACAGAGCATGAACGGGGGAGGGGCAGAGAGAGAGGGAGACACAGAATCGGAAACAGGCTCCAGGCTCTGAGCCATCAGCC